AATTTTTTTTTTTCTTTCATTTTAATCCCTTCCTCTCCCGATAAAATCCAGATACAGTTTGCTCTTAGCTCTTAGCTTCATCTCTCTCCGTAGAGAAAGTATACATAAATTCAGCTACAAAATCGAATATCAAAGCCCTAGATTTCTTGGTCATTTCGGCGAATTTTGAGTTATGAATCGGTGAGAATAGGAGGGGAGCAATTGGTGTCGTCTGTGAAGAAAGAAGAGGAGATAAAAGGGGGGGAAGATGTATGGTCATAGAGAGAGAGGGGTGGGTGGGTCCAAGGCGGAGGTAGGGACGGTGGATCGGAAGCGGATCAACGAGGCGCTTGATAAACAGCTGGAGCGATCGTCGCCGTCCACTTCCAGGGCGATCAACGGGAAGGATAAGTCTGTACACTCCATCCTCACGGGGAAGCTTCCTCCTGATCACCGTGACTCTCGCTCTGCTTCGCTCCCCAAAGCCAACGCCTCCGACGGTATTGACATTTCCTCATCTCGTTTCTATTTTCTGACATGTGCAAATAATATGTATCTGTGCTTAGATTTCCCTGTGAAATTAGGTTCAGTATCTAGGGTTTGGTTTTTTGATAAAGATGGTTTGAGTTTGTTCATTTTTAAATTATTCTGAACAATATATATATTAACCTAAGAAAGTTTTAATTTGTTTGAGCATTTGTGATAGTAGCTGTAGTAGAAGATATATTTCTAATAAATATGTAGATTAATGAGTACACTGTTGCCATATATACATGTCTTGGAGTATGAATGACTTCCATATTGATGTCTTCAAAGGATTGTCTTTTATAGTTAATCTCATTGATTTGATGAGTTTTTAGTTTTCCCTTCATCGACCTAGTCTAACATTAGCTAACTGAAGAAAATGTAAAAATGGAAAATTGAGTTGGGTTTTGACAGTTTCTCGAATCCTCGTGGTGTATTCTAAGAAAAGAGGAGATTATTTATGTTAGTTGTTGTTCTATGGGTTTTGAACTTAATTGGACGCCTTTTTTTTTTTCTTTGTGCATGTTTTGATTCTAAATGCCTTTTGCTTGTCACGCATTTGAAAGAGATGATAACAGTAAGGGCTGGATCATTTTTTACTCATGTTACCAGAGCATCTGGTATGGTTAAAATTGCTATTGCTCCTGAGTAATTATTTATTGGGTGGAGTATTGATGTAAAATTGATATGCATCGACTGCAGAAGAATCTGAAACGGATAGTGAAGAGTCAGATGTTAGTGGTTCTGATGGGGATGACACATCCTGGATCTCATGGTTCTGCAACCTCCGTGGAAATGAATTCTTTTGTGAGGTTGATGATGATTACATACAAGATGATTTTAACCTCTGTGGACTGAGCGGTCAAGTTCCCTATTATGATTATGCTCTTGATTTGATTTTGGATGTTGAATCTTCTCATGGTAAGTTTACATCTTAATAATGTGTGCAAGTTTGCTTCTAGATCTTCTTGTTCAAGTGTTTGTGATTCAGAGCAGAATTATTAGGTTTTTTTTTTTTTTTTTGGCTGTTAATGGTAACATTATCCTGTGCTTTCCTCACAGCCTTAAAATTTGACATATTGCAAGTTGCTATGCATTTTTTTTAATAATATGTGTTGATTGTTAGCCATTGAATGAATTGTACCAGTTATATGGCAATGGTTAAGTGTTAGTTGTGTTGGTTTCTTGCAATGACGGATACGTATTGGCTGAAACTTTTAGGAGATATGTTTACAGAGGAACAGAATGAGTTGATTGAATCTGCTGCAGAGATGCTTTATGGTCTGATTCATGCTCGATATGTTTTGACTAGCAAAGGAATGGCTGCAATGGTGAGATGTTGAACTTGATCTTCTCTGTGAAATTTTTTGTTTCCATATTACAGTCTGGGAATTGGCTGATAACATTATTGAAACTTCTACAGCTAGACAAATTCAAGAATTATGACTTTGGGAGATGCCCCAGAGTGTACTGCTGTGGACAACCATGCCTTCCTGTTGGTCAATCAGATATTCCACGGTCAAGCACCGTAAAAATATACTGCCCTAGATGTGAAGATATTTACTACCCCCGGTCCAAGTATCAAGGCAGTATCCTTTATATTGTTGAACTTGTTTTTGCTATTTATCGCATACATTTGGCTGGATGACAACATGCATGGATTATATAGTCTCTCTCTTCCAACTTTCAAAATATCATGATTTTCATTTACTAATCTGTTGAGTTTTCAGCTTATAATGGATACTGAGTTCATAATTTATTTTATTTTCAGTTTTTAAAATTGCATGTTGGCTAAGTTTCACTGAATATATATTTGATATATATATATATACTAATTAGTTTTCATTTTAGCCAAGTAGAATACTTGTCTATGGAATAAATGTCTGTCATAAGCTTACCGTTGCAATATTTCCAGTTTCCTTAATTCTATAAAAGACATAGATGGAGCCTACTTCGGTACCACTTTTCCTCACCTGTTCCTGATGACATATGGAAACCTGAAGCCGCAAAAAGCATCCCAGAATTACATTCCAAGAGTTTTTGGATTCAAGATCCATAAGCCATGATGGTGGTTTAAAAGCTCCATTTGGGGAATTGTTCTCTTGAGTTTGTATTATCTAGCTTCTATCTGGAAGAATGCCTTTGAGAGTTGAGGTATAGTTCATTAGTCGTTGATGTAATCCTGTTCTAGGTTCTTTCTCTTGTTATATGTCTTGAAAATTACCATAAAGCATATTTGCAACCAGCAAGTATTATTTTCAATGAACCTGTTGATTCAGCTATTCTTCTTTATCATCATTCTTGGTAGAGAGTAACTATTAAATCTGCCCTATAACTCGATCATACATTGTTGATTTTACTTATATTGGTTTCAGTATTTTGTCTCTATTGATTGTTCGTACTCACTCAATGTCATCTGTTCTTAGGAATTCCCCCAATATTCTTAACATTGCATTGTGTTTTGTTTCATCATTCTGGGTTCCCCCCGTGTCTATGCAGTCATTTAGTTTTCTATGCTTAATTAGCTCATCTTCTTCACCATCCAACTGAATTTATTTGCTGTGGACTACCATGGAGGCTGACTCTCTGAAATAAGAGTGTCATTTTCTCAAGATCCCAAGAACCAGGGGTGGGCAAAAACCGGTTT